ACCAAGGCTTTTGTAGAGGAAATGAATGATAACTGGGACGAGCGGCGGAAAATCCAGTCAGAACCACAGCAAGAGAATAATACTACTCAAAATGGAGGTCATTCACTTTATAGTCTAGAGAATATGAAAAAAGATTACAGATTGAAGAAGCAAAGAATTCATGCTGGACTATGGACCAAGGAAATTGAGAAGCAGGAGGAGGAGGCTCTGAATTCTACACCGGGGGATTCTTCTCCTGATGATATCGACAGATTGCTTGTTAGCTGCTCTGAGTGCGTTCCTTTCTCCTTCCATTGCTATTTACTTGTAGTAGTAAAATTTACTTATTTCTGATCTAAAACTTAATTGGTTTTGGATGTTAAACTACCAAATGAGCATCAGCCATCACCAGACCACTAGACTTGTGAAATTGTCTCTTAGACTAATAGATAGTCTTCACTTCAAGAGAAATTGGTGAGGCTGGTGGTTTAGCTAATAATCAAATTGACCTTATTATTTATAAAGGGGCCTTCTTAATAATACCAAGATCATTATATTACATGTACAACGGTAAAAGTTTGTTAAATATTTTAAGAAATTTCACTTCTGATGATTTTTAAAATTTTGGAATTTTGGTTTTAAGAATCCCTTGATTGTTGCTTTATAGAAACTAAAGCCTGTTGTTGACCAAATAAATGCACATAATCTGTTAAGAAAATGGATGATGTTCAATGTTAATTTTTTTTTTTTTTAAATTATTATTTTTACTTGAAGTTTGCTGGTTTCTTTCATCAGGCATTCTTAGTTTTAAGCTTCTTTAGCGAATAAGTTACTTTTAACTCATTCCAACCTGTATCCTTCAGAAAATCCTAGTCATTAAAGCTTCTTGATTAATTACAAAGAGAAAAATAAACTTCAGGGAGAGTATTTCGTACGTGAGAACATGCTTCCTCTCTGCTGCTCGGTAGAAGTACAATTGTTAGTTAACTATATGAATTGTCATTATGGTACTGTTTATTTAGTAGCAAAAATGAATGCCAAAGCTCACTAACAAAATTAACCTGAAAACAACTCTTAAGTGGTACAGCAACTGGCATGTCATATTCTCAATAAATAATTAGTCTGATTTCTTACATGCATTTTTGGCTTAAAGGTCTTAAACCAGATGCATTCTCAATGCACCTTTTCTCTGATCTTCTTACTGTGCTATACTCCATGATAAAATAGCTGTGTCAATGTTGATGTGAACACAAAAATGAATTTGAGAATAAAAATGCTTATGCGACCATGAAGCAATGAGGCTACATTTCCTTCACATGGAAGAATCCACACTGCTTCCTAAAAGCCCTTTTGGATTTGTATGGATTAAGAATTTGGGTACATTTTGTTCATGGTTAGTTTGATACAATGTGTTCTGTTAGCTTATTCTGGTAGTCCCATGTTGTAGGTGACGAAGCGTAGAAAATTTGAGAATAAATTCATTGTTTTCTTTTTAGCCCTATTGAATTCCTGGATCCTTTAAGTTTTGCTTTTTGTGTGGGATTACTGGCAAGTTTGGACTATAACTCAGATGCTTTTGTTGGAGTATAGGTGAACTTGTCAATTCTAATAGATATCTAATTGCAGAATTTTTGACACTGCCAATAACGACTTGGACAACTCAAAAATCCCAAGCTCTTCCGAGTTTAAAAACAAGCCTGATGGTTGGGAAACAACAGCAAAGGCACAAGAGGGAAATATATGGGAAATGTCTCAGAGGGAGGAAGATATCCTACTACAAGAATTTGATCGTCGAATAGCATACAGCAAATTCCAGGTGAGTTGATGTTGTCATGCTTTTATGTGTTTTCTTTTGTTGGGCTAGTCTTAGCAATAAATCTCCTTTCCAGCCTAGCCATCATCTCTTTCCAGCTAAACTATCAATTTTTTCTGCAACTACTTGCAGATAGCTAGTTTTATCAAGACCCACATTTTTAGCCGGAGGAGACCTATTGATGGTTGGAAATACATGATAGAGGAGCTGGGACCAAATGCCAAGAAAGGAAAGGGTAGTGTTTCAAGACTACCGAGTCTATCTGATCCATCAACACAACCATTCAAGGAGGACGGGAAACTGATTCCCCGCAAAGGTAGGTAGTTCATTGCCCGACTCCACTGAACTTTTCTTCTTTGTTCCCAGCCATTGATGTTTCCCAGGGGATGAAGCACAAGTCAAAATAGTATTTCCCTACTTTCTTTTTTAAGAGCTTTTTCTCAAAGTCCAGAGGTGTGCTTCATCAGTTTAGGATTCACATGTTCATCCATGACTAATCTTTTGCTTCTGATCTCGTGTTCCATGGAATATACTGCAACTTATTAGCACTGTCTGTTTTTTTTCCCCTTGTACGTTTTATTTTTATTTACCTAGATTAACTGTTTCTTCTGTATAAAAAAACCATCAATACTTTTTATGTGCTTCTATTGAGGAAGCGAGTTGTCCAAACTTTGAAGTTGTGTTACAACTCAAGGGAGTGGAAATCATTCCGAATTGCTTTTCACAATGTTTTCAGCTCAATTATATACGTCGATAGCCTGGGAAGTTTCATTTGTCAATGAATCTTCCTGCAATTTTTTTTTTAATTTTTTTTTATATATATATATATGTCATCTCTGCAGTTGCCAGAAGCATTAATGGCCAGTGCATTACCTTTTTCAAGCTATAAAATGGTTTAACCCTTCAAGTAAGCACAGTCCCATGTTACAATAATAACAACAATTTATCCATACATGCAAAGGAAAATCTAATTAGTGTTAGGGTTAAGCCAAATTGATATTGTGGGGTTCCCATGTGGTCTTAGTCAATGAAGCAAATTACTTAGTCAATAATCGAAGACTCATATGGGTCAAGTAAAAGGAGAGACCAGATCACTAGTGCTTAAGATTGGTCGTCTGAATTGAGTTGGACAGCTGAAGTACTGTAATTGAAAAACTGATTTATGAGGATTTATTCATAGTATACCAATACTTGCTCACGCCAATATCCATTAAAAAGAAATAGAAAAAATCCTAGTATCCAATTTCGAAACGAGATTCATCACTTATCAGCTCACCTGCTTATTGCTGGCTGTATCGACCCTTCAATTAAGATGCTCAATGTCGACATCTAAGTCTCCACATTTGTAGAAGCCTGTCTGTCAATTGAAAGTTAAAACGTTGTCGTGAAGTAGAAAGTGATTATGTGTTTAATTTTTCAATGAAAGGTGTATTAGCCAACTACCAATGGTTGCAGTTTTAGTGCAGAATTTGAATTGCACAATCTCTTTGTATATAAAGAGTTGTAATACCAATCTTGATTTCTCACATCTCTCAACTACCAATTATTGCAGTATATGAAGAGTAATCATACCATTCTTGATTTCTCACCTCTCCCAACTTTCTTATCTTGGAAAGCCATCATGGGGTGCTGCCTGTTCCTCTCTCGTTTTGCTTCTCTTGCACTTTTATACCACAATTTCACCACCATTCTCTTTAACCCAATTGTGTGCTCATGACCAGTCTTTCTTTGCTCCAATTCAAAGAACCCTATTCAATTAGTCATGGAAAGAGGGTACATATTGCTGCTTGAGAGAATTTCAAGTCTGGATCGATTGCTTGTTTGAAGTCAGGGAAGGAGAGAACTTCATGGATGGTATGCAGTCTGGAAGATCACTCAATCTGTCTATAGTAGCTTTCTTGTTTGCCATTAATAATTCTTCTGTATACGTTGCATGTCACTCAACAACAACGTCCAATATTAGGGTTTCTCTAATGTTCGTTCTCAGGGCACCTGTAATTCACGTGTCGGAGTAAAATCATAACCCGCTTGGATTTCACCACCATGTCTCAAAAAAATATATAAAACTATTTCCAAACTGTGCATTCAGCTGGTTAATGAGCTGGAAATAACCCAAAAGGGAAATTAAATTGAAGCTCGAGAAACGCTTCTGCATCAGAAATTAAATAAAATCGTGCCGATTGCTCGCCTGTTTGTTGGAATTAAGAACAACTTTCTTGCCTGGAAAAATGTAAATTAATGTCATCTCATTTTTTCTAACAGTGAGACCCAAGAAAGTCTCTGCTCAATAAATAATGCTAACTTGGTTTCAAACAAAATATCTATTTTTCTATTTACATATATCTTGAAATATTTATCTCATCAAAATTTTAAATAGTTCATATTTTCAAGATATTCTAAATTAACATTTATTTTATAAAAAATTGTCTAAAATAATTTGAAAAAAAATTAAAAAATACTATATAACGTAATAATTAATATTTTTTAAGTTATATGAAAGTAAAAAAAAAAAAAATTAGAAAAAAAGGAGTGCTCGCATTTGATAAGACGATCAATATATGCTCATATGCATAATTGAATAGGGGAAAGAATCTAAGCAAGCGACATGGCTGGACCCATATTTATGTGAATTGACCTCACAAAACCAATCTTGTCTCCCTCCCTTGGTATGAGAAAGACCACTTCATGAGTTGCAGACAATAATTGAAAAGATAAGTCTACTACTGATGTTCTTACTGAAGTGTCTTCTTCCAGCCCGTGTCCCCTAATGCATCAAGTTTAAGATTCGATTTTTATTCCCAATATATCTGAAAATTTTATTCTCAGAATATTTAAGTGTTTTTTAACCACATTAAAAAAAAAAAAAAAAAAAGTTTCGAAATTAACGAAAATTGGCCACAAAACACTCTTCTTGTTGAATCTGAATAACAAATAAAGACCAATTTTCGGACTTTATGAAGGCACAAAAGCGTATAGAACAGAAGATAGAACAGAAGATAGGCGCCTGCTTCTCTTTCGTCTGGATCAAAATGCCACACGGATGAAGATGGGTGCTGACAGGTTGTGCATGCCTTGCCCTTCCATTTGTCGATTCGTTGATGCGGTTAAACAAACTGCTCTCGCTAACAACCGCTGGGTAACGGTCCTTTTTCTTGTATTGCTAGACATGATAGTGCCCCCTAAGGCACTTATCATACTCATTTACCCTTCATCCTCCGTTCAGGTTGTCCTTCTGGACTAGTTTTTTCTTTCTCTTCTGCTTTAAAAATCTGTCATCAGAGACAGTCAAGAGCTTATTGATGGACATCCCTTCCCCTATGGTCAGCTTCTTCACTTCATATCTATGCTTAATCCTCTCATCAAGGTTGTAACCAAGAAATGCAGGAAAAGACAAAAGCTCTCTAACTTCACGACCCATGTCCTCAATCAAGAATTCCAACTTCTCCTCCAACGCAGCGCATCTGTATTGTAGAATCTGAGGGTGCTTCTTGCTCATGGCAAGAATATCTTCATAAGAAAGACCATAACTCAAGAATAGTCCAATCACATTCTGCAAATTCTCACAGCTTGTCCTTGATGCAGCTCCCATTGCCGCAGCCAATTCCTTGGTTCCATTTCCATACCCGATCTTCACCAAAACAACAAGTTTATGCACGAGGTTATCTTCAAAGGACAGGCCAAGAAAAACAGGGGCTTTAGTCAAGAACTTGAATATCTCATCAGAACTCAACCCGCATTGCTTCAGAAACTCTATTCTCGGACGCAACTTCCTCTCCTTGCTGGCGCTAACCACATTTGGAAACACAGAAAAAATCCTGAATATTTGTGGATCGGTTAGGCCAGCAAAAGATCTAAACAGCTCAACATGGCCCCCCGTATGCTTCACACTGTAACTTAAAATTGCAGGGAGTTTACGTAACACGATCCCCGTAGCATCCTCGTCTCCACCACTAATCTCCTTGAGCAACTCTACTCTAGGAATCAACTGAGTGTCCAAATCAAAATTCAGAATCAACGGCCGCCTAACAATTATGTCAAGCCCACCAAACCGGCTCATGAAAGTAACTATCTTATCGATTTCTTCAACAGACTTAAGGCACAAAGCCTTGGTCAGATTCACATTGTTGAGAACATGGACAATCTTTTCTCGAGGAATTCCGTGATCAATCAGCAACTTAACCTTTTCATCAAAACCAGTCAAGAATCTTGGCACAGTGGCAACCAAAAGACGCCTAAGCTGTGCTGGCTCGACCTTTCCTTCTAAATCATTAAGCACAAAATGTATAAACGGATCGATCTCCTTAGCTCTTAACACATCCGGACCCTTAGAAATCAAGCGATGTAGTTCGATGCCTTTTATTCCAGCAGACTCCAAGAGTGAAACACGGGCTCGGATGGAATCAAAAGATGCAAACTTTAGAGCTGGGTTCTGCTCTAACAGTAACCCAGTTTCTTTGTCATTAAAACCCAGTTCTCCAAAGAAAGAATAAATCAATCCTGAAACAAAAAGAAACAATAAGCTACATGGAAATGAGCAACTGAGCATAATATGCGTAACATGTTTGACAAAAGGTCTCTGAGAAAGAAACCAGCTCACCAATTTCATTCTGCAAAATGGCAGGCAAGTCAAGGCAGCTGCACTGGACTAGAAGGTGTTTAATAACTGGAAAAGCCACTGGGGCCAAGAACCTTGATGCTTTAGCAAAGTTTGCGAGAGTGAACTTTTCATGGGGAGGGAGAATTGTAAATGGAGTAGCTAAAGATAGAAGCTTTGTTGATGGTGGGTTTGTTGCTTGCAACAGAAAGGAAGAACTTGAAGAAGAAAATAAAGGGTTTGCTGTTGCAAGCATGGCTGTCGTGTTTTTTTTTTTTTCATCAAGTATTATCTTCGGATAAGCTTATACCTATAGAAGTTGAAGGCTTTGTCGTTTTGACAGTGGCTTCGTTGTATGAGATGCGGTTGGTCTTTACTCTTTGGGCTTTACTACTAATAGGAGTATGGCTTATACCCAGAACATGATGTGTGGGCTTAAATGGTGGATTTTTCTTAACCTTCAAGTTTCTTCAGACCAACTTCCACGGTACTGTTCGAGAGTATTTTCAGACTCTGGAAAAATTATAATTTAGACAAGAAATAATATATTTGTAAGAAATTATTTCCTCACTACCACAAATAGGTATTGGATTTTAAAAATACGAAAAGCAAATCCACTTACCATCCGAACTAAGTCACAAGAGTTGAATGATGGACTGTTAAAGTTGAAAATCAAGTTCCCTTGTTTATGAGTCGGGTTCAAGTTCTTCTCTGTACAGGACAAAACCTTCTTCTATTTACAATTTGAGGACATAGGATTATGATAATGATTAGAGATCATGGACTTGTTTATGGCATTTAAACAAGAAAGTTGATGGTGGAACAACTACTACTGTGCCAAGATTCTTGAGAATGTGAAACCTAATTATTGGTCTCAATAATATTATAATCACATAGTTGCATGCAGTTAGGCTTCAAGTGTTGGCAATCATGAGAATGATTGGTAAAATGTAAAGGCTGCTCTAAGTTGAACTGGGGAATTTTGAACAAGTTCATAATGATTAAAAGGTGGAAAATATTCAGTACAGTTCCCTCTAAACAAAGTACTAAAAGTTACAAAAGGATGTTACAAATGCTACAGATAAAAATAATGATGATTAATGCACCATTTTTAATCAATGAGGGGTTAGAATCATGTCAATGGGTTTGAGGTAGTCGGCAACCTCTCCCCGAAGGGAGTATGGTACCAAACTAAACCATTTACGGATCCAAAAGCTGCTGAAGCCAGGAGGCATCTCAGACAGGGATTGACAAAAGGTAAGGACTGGTCTTGCAGACAACTTGCTGCCTTCAATTCAGGAGTTTAGAGCAAATCCATCAAGTCTTGTTCTTCATTTGAGGACGATTCTTGGTAACATTTCTCCCACTTTTGTTGCTTGTAGGTATAGCTTTTATAAGAACAACAGATGAACCACTCTTATTAGATTTGTCAGGAGATCTGGGAAAATGAATCCTGCAATACATTCAGTCAGAGAAAAATGCATCTCTCATGTGAATTCAAGCACCAAACAACACGAATATTCAAAGAGACACAGCACGAGGCTTGCAATTATACTTGCCTCTTTTTGGGAACTTGGCTAAGATCATCTGGCATTTCGCTATGAACCTCTTCCCTTTTCTCATCCTCTGGTTTCTGAACCTACATAAGGAAGAATTAGTAAGCATAAACTTATTAGCAACCCTCCAGTCATAACTTGAAGAATTCTCAATGCCTCCCCTTTCATACCATCATTTGGCATGCTGTGATAGTCAGCTTTATCGGCAGAGGCAACAAACATCTCACAATGAAATGCATACAAGTAATGCAGAGAGAGAAAGAGATGATACAATTGATCAATTCTTGCTTGCCATGTTTTGGTTCAGGCAAATCATACGTGAAATAATACTTTCACACTGTTGGACTGTGCCAAATGCCAAGAGCAGAGCCATAATAATGTTGAACCAATAAGTTATCAAATAAGCAGAACGAAGAAGAATATGATTCGTCTTTACTACTGCAATCTTTAGCTTCCCAACAGCTTTCAGATAGGCACACTATTGGATGCAGTTCCTAGAACAAAAGTCCAAACAAGCAGAAAGAAAAAGGATATTTCAATCTTTGTTTGCTATCGCAATTTTTGGACAAGTAAATGCAGATTACAAAGCCAACTTAGCCATAACAATGTCAAACAAAGAATAGTGGAACTTGATACTTATCTGAGTGGAGAATGTTAAAGGTGCAAGGCAGTTTGATACTATTAAAATGCCATGACCCAGTAAAAAGAACCAAGAGATCAGCAAATATTTAAGTTCATAAAAGATCCTATGCTTATTTACTTCTAACATAAGAAACTATGCACTGCAAAGAAATTAGTTACTCAAAATTCCTAGCCTCTGCATCTTTTGGAAAAGAATTATCAATAAATCCATGTATCTAATGTGCATGATTGCTGCAATAGGCAAAAAAAAGCTCCTATTCCAAATTAATACAAAGAGGTAACCACAAAACAGACCATAAGGTAAGTAAATTATTTCAAGCAGATGAGTCCCCACTCCTAATTAGGTTAGGATTCACATTCCAAAATGAAAATGAGTGATCTCAGTGCATTATATAACCTTTATGTGCGTTCTATAACCTTAGTATTTGTTTACCATGTTCTATCACGCAGTGGCCCAAAAATGTACACCCAACCAGGTTTTCTAGAACGTAAGCCTTTCAAGTTCAGAAAATGAGAAAATTGAAGAACATAAAACTTCTACCTTTAAGATATTCCTCTAGAAACATAGAACAAATTTCCAAATCATAGAGGTTACTTAGACAAAGCTAAACCTAATACCCAAGAATGAAGTCCACAAAATCAGAGAATGGAAAACCATTGCAGACATCAAGCATAAAATTGGCACGCTTAGTCTGGATAATGAATAAAGCAAACAACTTTATCATATCAACACCAAGTTTTTGAGAGGAAGCAGGTGCAATGATAGAATCAATTACAGACCAGGAGCATAAAGTCACAGGCAACCAAAAGTCATTATTTCACAGACATCAAAGTCACATTCAAGCATTTCAACTTCGCCAGCACTGCATTGTTTTGAAAAAAAAAGAGGAACTTTCGTTCTAAGAGGCATGAGTATCTTGCTAGAACTGATGAAACAAAAGATGATGGTTTGTGCATTCGTAGTAATCAAAAGATTCAAGTTCGACCGGTGAATATTTTATGTAACATGAGAGGCTAAACAGTGACAGAATCCATAAGCTCATATGTATTAGGTAATTGTACAGTTACTCAATGATCCATTGCAATAATAGGAACGAATGTAATATTTCAATGTAAGCAATTTATACTGATGCTAAATTCAACAATATCAACACATGTCACACATGCAATACCAAAAGACCATGTCAAGAAAACAGAATGGAGTACAAAATGTTGCACAAGTTAAGACCTTGCATTATTAACTCACTGCATTAGTTCTATCTGAAAAAAGTCATGCAGCAATGATAGCATGAAACCCATTTGTAAAATTTGCCTACTTCCACACAAACAAAACTAAAACAAAGACATAAACTCACATCATTGGCATCCTTAGACGATCCAACCTCCAAGTTTGAAACTTTAGCTTTCTTCTTAGCACCATTTCCATTTGCAGATTCCAAGTCATTTCCTTTCCTCTTCTTGCACCCAAACACCCAAGATTTTCCTTTCTTATCTCTAACTTTCCACACATTCTTCTTTCTAAACACCAACTTATCAAACTTCCACACCTGACAACTTGTATCTATTACAGTCACTTCACTTCTTGAATAACCCTTTAGCTCTTTATCACCACCAACACCCAAACCCTTCTCCTTCTCCTCCTCAACATCCTCCTCCTCCTCGTCATCGTCAAACGCACAATCCACATTATTAGAATTCTTATCAGAAGAATTCTTATCAGAACTCAATGACCCTGCAGCAACAAGGACATGCTGGTCTTTTCTCACACAACCTAAAGAATCATTATTACTATTATTCCCGGAAATGAAACAAAACTTGGGTTTCGTTTGTTTTCTAGGAATCTTCTCCTTTTTCCGGGAAAGTCTTGAACTTTCCTCAATTGGGTCACTGCCACCACCCATGTTGAAGAGGTCTGCAAGAACATTGTTCATTAAATAGAACAAATCTTTATTGTCACTTGAAGACACCTCCCTAGTCGTTGCTGCTGCTGCTGCTGTTGTGACTTTGTTTTGATCTGAACCAGAGTGAGTCGACCCAGAGTTTGAGTTGATGACAGAATTGGAGGCATTGGTAATTGGAGAACTCGATGGGTTTGGAAGAGAAGGGTCATCATCATTGTTGTTGTTGAAGCCTTTGTTGGACCAGAGCCGGTCTAACCAGTTTGATCCGGACTTGCTGGTTTGAACTGAACACAGCATTGATTGATTGGCTTGGTTTAATGGGATTTGCAGAGATTCTTGATCTATTGTGATTTTGAAGAAAATAAGACAGAAAGATGGGAGCTTTTCGAGCTACAATAAGTTTGGTTGGTGGTGGTGACTGCCACTGAGCTGAAGAGTTGTTCTAGATTGCCCATGGGGTAAACTATAGCATGGTTTTGTTGGTTGCCACTTGGTGCATTTTGGAGCCTTTGAGAAAATAAGTTGTAGCCAAAAACTATTTTGAATTGGTAGTGGCAAAAGCAAAAAGGCATCACTTTGAAGATTTTGCCAAATAAATTTGTGCTTTTCATTGTTTCATTGAAATTTCTCTTCACAAGACCAATAATTTTGCTAATGTCTTTCACAATAATTGACCACTAATATGAGGGGTTGATGTGATGATTAAGAATTACTATGTAAGATTATGATAATTTTTTTAATTCTAATATAAATAAATCATCTTTTTTATTTAATTTTTTATACGAAAAGAGAGAGAGAGAGAGAGAAAGCTATAATTTGAGTATACAACTTTTAAATTTTTTTCTATTTGAATATTCAACTAGTAAAATATTTTATTTTAGTGCTCAAATTTTGATTTTTTTAATGCCCACCATCTCTTTGGATTAGAAAATACAAATGTGTGCGGAATGAATTATCAGTGTGAAAAAAATGAATTCTACTTGCATTATTTCAAAAAAAAAAACTTGTAATACGAGTGCTTAATTTTTACTTACTTCTTCGATTAGCTTTTTAAAATATCATCTAAACATTTAATTTGGCTACTCTAAGAGTTTTAATTTTGAATCATCTAATCAATTTGAGTTCATTAGGTTAATAGTAATTAATTATGATTTTTT